TAGAATGTATGAAGTTGAGGACTTAAACTTTTAAAACATAGTCTCTTTTGATAATTTAGGTTGTATTTGTTTTGGTTAATCTCATCAAAGATAAATGTATTGTCCTTTGTTTATTTAAAAAATAAATGATTTAAAATATTTTCTTGTTACATGAAACATTGAGATCAATAATTTAATCTTTTAGAAACTAAACTAAAGCATACTTGCAATTATTAGAACATTTCTATTAGATTCTATTATGATCAATACTTATATATATTCAGTGATTTATGTCTAGCGTCATTGGATCTGGTGGCCTCTTTAGACCTTCATGAACACTACAAGCATGTTTATGTGCTAAACTCAAAGAAAACACACACACACACACACACACACACACACTCACACATAAATATATAAAAATAGCCAGGGGTTGGTGGTACATGCCTTTAATTCCAGCACTCACGAAGCAGAGGCAGGGTGAACCTCTATGAGTTTAAAACTAGTCTGTCCTACAGAATGAGTTCCAGGACAGACTGGGCTACACAGAGAAACCCTGTCTCAATCTTTTTTTAAAAAAGCACTTTAAATCCCTATATTAGTGAGTTGTATTCCCTTTTGTACATTGACTAGGAATTTGCAGTAGATTACATACTTGTTGATCCCTGTGGGCTTATTTCTCCCGAAGAAATAATTTTCTTATCACTGATTATCTAACCAAGCAACCCATCTTCCTCATAATTATAAGACAAATAGTTGAGTGAAAAAATGACTTTGAAGGTTCTTTTCAGTTTCATTGTGTGGCTTCATTTTAGAATATAAATAACAAAATAAAAACATTTTCCACAAAATATCTGATATCTAATTAATGCTTTCCAGTGTAAGTATGGTATCAAACATTTCCTCTAATTATATTCATTAGTGGCTTCTCCTGGACAAGTTTTAATTAAGTTGTACAATGAAGATCAATACTCATTGTGTATTCAATGTAATTTACAACACGCATATATACTGTTCAGAACAATTTAATTACTGTAATTGTAGCAAAGAAGACACTCAGAAATTGCACTCTATTACTGCCAATTCCCTCTTTAATACATTTGTTAAAGTCATTGGGAAATTAACTTCTGAAAATTCACACTTGTGTGCACTCTGTCTACATCTTAGTGTTTTATACCATTTTAAAATTTTTGTATATGTATATATGTATGGAAATTTAGGCATTAATGACATTATTGAAAATGTTTTGAGAGTGTTTTACATATATCCCATCATAAATATTGAGAAACTATTATAGTATAAATAATAATATCCATCATAATACACAGATTTTGAGAAAAATAATCTAGAGAAATTGTATTGGTAGATTACACTACGTGACTTATGTAAATTAGATTCCAATTGTTTTATTAACTTTATATTCTGACATATGGGTTCATTTTGCTTTATAAGGAATGCTTCCAACTATAATAACTTACATTAAGGGAAATTCTCCATGTAACACACTATAAAAATAAAGGTAAAATAGAACTTTTTGGTAGTATGTCTTCTAAGTTTCAATAGTTCCAAGGTCGAGACAAACTTATTTCATGGAGGTCTTTTCTGTGTATGGGAGGAAATGATGCACCATATGCTTGATTTTTCTCAACTCCCAGTAACTACTGTAGAATGCTGAATCAGACGCATCATCTGGATCAGTTTACTGACAAGATAATCATTCATAATGTAAACAGCTATGGAAAATTTGAGCTTAGCTAGTGTATAGAGTTGGTGGTTGTGGGTTTTTTTTTTTTCAAGTTTTAATCATTTATCTGCATGGGTATATGTGTGAGTCTCTCCCTCTCTTCCCATCTCTCTCTTTCTCTCTCTCTCTGTTTCTGTCTCTTTCTCTCCCTGTCTCTCTCTCTGTGTGCGTATGTGTGTAGGTTTGTAACTATGTATGTACATGTGAGGGTGGGTCCTTGCAAAGGTCAGAAAAAAGGTGTCATCCACTGAACTGGAGTTACAGGCTTATATGATTTGCCTGATACAGATAGTGCAAACAAAATCCATGTATTCTGCATGACTGACCAGTACAAACTCTTAACTATTGGCTACCTCCCCAGCCCCAGTTGTGTTCTTTCGAGCGGGTATAACATGTCAGTTTAAGTGATAAGAATTAGGTGATATCAGAACTTTGAGTATAAGATATCAGAACACCGAGATTTAGAAAGGGGAAAATCAAGAATGATAGACACTACTTCATAACATGTTAGATAAATATGAGGAATTAACACTTCTTAGGTGATAGTTTTTTTTATATAAATAAAACAGCCTTTTTAAAGATTGGAGAGGGAAGTATATTATACATATCTAATGGAAGTAATTTGATTCCACTTCCTTTATACAGTCTATCACTGAAGAAACTCAAGACAGGAAACTAGAAGAAGGGACTGGTACAGAGGCCATGGAGGATTTCTGTTTATAGGCTTTCTCTCCATGGTTTTATCAGCCTGAATTTTTATATATTTAGTTTACATATTAACTGTAACTATTTTCTTTTGTGCATCTGAATACCCGACTGACTAAGGTCTCAAGAATTTATTTGGACTTATCATATAACAGATAACAATATAATTTTACATACTTTTTTCTCAATTTGAAATTTCTAATTGCAGGTTTAAATATTTGTATTTTGAGTCTTATTTCTGAGAACAAAACTCATCTCTTTTCAGAAGGAATTAAATTTTAGCTGGTTTTGAGAAGTGAGACATGAATTTTTCATCTACTTCATCATTTTTTTTGTTTAATGACAGCATTTTCATAAAATAACATTAAGTAAAATTATAGATTCCTACTTTACTTATTGTCTTATATTTTTGTAGTAGTATATTCAAATACCAATGCCTACCATTCATTCCAAAATTGAATTAACATCTAAGTTAATGTCCTGAGGACATTAATTCACTTCAATATGTATTTTGAACCCCCAAACAGCAATGTAGATGAATGTAGACTAAAGTTATTTCAGGAGGCAGTAACCAAAGTTTGAAGACATTGGAGGTCTGTAGTTATTAATGAATATCTAAAGCTCCAAATAAAGTAGAGGCCAGTAAGGAATGTTGCTTCTCCTAGCTGGCTGTTTACGCATTCCTAGAGTTCCTGTGCACTTCAGTTTGGATTATAGGTTGCAATTCAGCAAACTGCAACACAGTAACACTCTCAGTTTGATTACATGAGCTACTTTGTCTCAACCACACAAGCATACTACCACTCAGTATGAAAGATGAACCAAAGGAATCATTAAAATGAATAAACATAACAATTTAAGTGTTCACTCCCCTGGTATTTAGTCATGTCTAGACAGAGACCTAGTGTCCCAGATACATTGAAAGGAGGACAAGGACATTTATGTTTAATGTAGCCTTATTCCCATGGAGACCAGAAAAGACAACAATGAAGTAAAGTGGAGAGCATGGCTCTTAATGAAGAGGTAGATGCAGTTTTGTGTCTGGAGGCACATAGGTTATGAGGGTAACAGAAAAAATGTGATTTGCTTTTTTTTTTCCCCCCTTTAAACTATTGTTTTTTAGTAAAGGCATCATTCCTCGGAGGAATTAACAGTCCTACAAAAAATAAGAGGCCAATATAATTAAAGTGGGTTAATAATAATAATAATAATAATAATAATAATAATAATATAATAATAAAAATAATGACTTGCATCTTATGATCATAGAACTATGAAAATAGGGAAAAAAAAACTATACTCAGAACAGCAATGCATATGTGATAATTGGCATGTTCGATGCTTCTTACAATTTAATGATTGATGTACTTTACTTTGCTAATGTCATTATATGTTTTAAATTGATTTGTAGGATAAACACCTTCATGTCCATATTTTCTGATTGGATTTTACTTGCGTGAAATCAATTTACATGTTAAATGCACATAAGTTTTACAAAATACCCAAAGTTACAATTTTAGTTGTGATTCTTGTGATTTTCACTTACTTTCTATATATAATCTGATAACCCATTTTCCTGCCTATCCACTCTTGTTAATTTTATAGTGAAAGCTTATACTTGCAGGTAGAAAAACACCTTTAAATTTAATGAACTTCCAAAATATTGGATCCTGTATTTGGTATAGGTAGTTTTACCAAATAATACATATGGCCCCTCTTCTGGTCAACACACCAAGATCCATTAAGGTAGTTCAGTTACAAATTCATGAGAAGGAGATGATAAAAACAAACAAAACCAATAAAATATTCATATCTGAAGTCTTTAAATAAACTGTAGCCTTTAAATTAAATTTGATTCCCTAAGTACAAAATATAAGCCCAATTAGTATGTGGGTCAATGTGAGTATGTACACTTATCTTTTGGTTTCTTTATAATGATGAAATTTGTATCAATCCTGGGATTTCTAAATATATTACATAAATTATCTAAAGTTTCAGCTTGAGGCACCTTTTAAGCTCTGGTTGCATTTTAACTAGAAAACATCTAAGGATTCACCCTGCTCAAGCAACAAGATTTCATATTGAGTAAAATTATAATGAGTTGCTTTTTAATATAAAAATTTTCACTTGTATTGATTATCACAAAAAGTTAAATATGCTTATAAAATGTTTATTTTATTTAATGGAATTATTTGCCAATTCATAACATATTTTTGAGGGAAAACAAAACATGCTTAGCTAAAATTTTTAAGGATGCAAATTAATGCCAACTCTACGTGTTTTTTGTTTGATTTGTTTTTGCTTTGGTATTATTAAGACTTCTTTTTTTCTATCTGATTTGTAATCTTTCTCTTACATGATAAAAATAGAGGTCTGCATAGTTTAAATGTTTTTGTTGCAATTCTCCATTCATTTATTACAAATCAACTGTTCCTTTTCAATATAACAATACTTTGTAACTCTTGTATTCATCATGATGAGAGCACAATCTGAACTTGATAATATACACAGTATGTATATGCAGGGTGAAATGGGGATATACTGAGTTTTGTGCTTCTTTTTCTTTTTACAGTGAATTTATTGGATTCACGCACTGTCATGGGGGACCTTGGATGGATTGCTTTTCCAAAAAATGGGGTAAGTTCTTATGAAAGTTTCCATAAAATAGAACCTTAATTCATAGCCTTCAGGCTACAAAAATCAGATTGACATTTAAGTGGAAATATTTGTTAACAAAGGAGGGCTATTTCTATCAGGTGGGGTATAGGGTAATTTCAAATGACTTCTGAAAAAAAGAATACCAACAGGGAAGGGTTTTCAGGGACTAAATATTAGACACATTTTTTTTTTGCCTTTCAGCATTTCTCCATGAAAGAAAGTTTCCCTTCAGCAACTAGGAAATGTAGTGCTTTGCCTCTATCTCAGATAGGTTGCTGAGGATATACAATTGACATCTGTGTGCAATGTTAATGTACATAGAGATCAACTCACCTGTTATTTAATTTTCAGGATAAGTCGAAAGCATTATAAGAAAATCTGTTATTCAGGCTAAAAGTAGGTCAGGTAATAATCATCAGTCATATCGCCATTCACTTCCTTCCCAAATTTTGAATTTTCTTCAATTAAAACTTTTCAAAAAGAATTATTTTACCAGCATAATCATATGATTAATATTTTATAAAATTGTTCAATGAAATATATTTTGAAGTATTTGAAATGAAAATTAGATGCAATTTTAAGATTATATATATATATAACAGAATCTATGTTAATAATAATAGTAATAAATTCATAAAATTAAAAATGCATCACATGATCAACTTTCTAACTAAGTTCACAAGTATATTAAAAGAACATGAAAGCCCACATTAAATATTATTCTGTTTATCATGTGACTCTGAAAAAAAAATTTTCACAATTTTATAACGAAGTAATTCTAATCGTTTGACATTTTTATTAACTTACGTCACAGATACTTTGAATTTTTAAAATTTTCAAGTGACGTTATACTCAAATATCTTGATTAAAAAACAGCCAAATGTTTAAGTCATTTGTGATTAAATTATAATTAAGGTGTTTACATTTATAAATATATCTTAATTTAATACTTATGTAAGCAATTTATTTTGCCTCATATATATGTATATATATGTAATGAGATGGAAACAACTTTAAGCAAGAGAATATTATAACACATCTTGTGATAGCAACATAGTTATCCAAAATATTTCAATGATTATTTTCCTATTAATGAAAAAAGTGGTTGAATAAGTCTTTACGCTATTCCTAGTGTTGGTCACAGTGACACAAACTAGAGTCATTTGAAAAGAGGAAATCTTAACTGAGGAATAACCTCTATCAGTATGGACTTTAGGGAATGTCTGTGGAACATTTTCTTTATTGTTGATTTATGTGAGAGGGTGCCTCACCCTGTAGGCTGTTGCTGCAGCCATCTGCAGGTGGCTTTACATGGTATAAGAAACCAAGCTGAACAATCTATGTAGAGTAAGGACCTTGACTCATTGCCCAGGCCCCGGCTCTTATTTGAGCTTCTGCCCTTTGTTCTCTTAAGGAATGTTATCAGATGTTAGCAAAGTAACTCTTTTCCTTTCCATGTCAATTTAGGTCATGGTGTTTATCAGAGCAAACTAAGACAGTCCCTTTCTCATGAAGTTATTTATTTAAATATACATACATATATATATATATATGTATGTATATATATATATATTTACTTTATTTATTTTATTTTACATGTTGATCCCAGCTCCCTCACCCTCCCTCCCATACTCTTACCCTCTCTCCACCTCCTCACATGAACCCTGACCAACATCCCCTTCCATCCCCCCCATCCCAATTACATATGTAGGGCTATGGCATCCAGGTGGGGTCATGCAAATCTGTCAAGTCACTTGAAGTAAGGACCAGGATTTCTCTCCTGTCTCTAGGTTAAGGGGGATGTGTCCCCAAGGTCCTTTTGTGCACCAGGAATACATCCTGGTTCCACTGTCTGAGGTCCCTTAAGCTGCTAAGACCTTCTAGCTGAGACCCATATTCAGGGGGTCTGAGTCAGTCCCATAATGGATTCCCAGCTATCTGTCTGTGGGGCCCATTAGCTCCTTCTTTTCCAGGTCAGCTGTCTCTATGTGTTCTACAACTTGGTCTTCTCCTCTCTCTTTGCATATGAATTCTAGTTCCACTCAGTGTTTAGTAATGGGGGTTTGCTTCTGTTTCCAACAAGTACTAGATGAGGATTCCATGATGGTGGAAGAGTTAGTTGTTGCTCTCATTATGAGGGAAGGACATTTATGGTAGGCTTTCCACAGTTGCTCAAATTGTTAGTTGGAGTCAATCTTGTAGGTCTCTTGACCTTTATTTAGGTTCAGTATTCTCCTCAAACCAAAAATGGTTCCATGTTTTATGTTCTCTCTCTTACTTCCTCTCTCTCTCTCTCTCCCTCCCCCTCCCCCACCACCCCTTCTTCCTCTCTTGTCTTCTGTTGCTACCCTGAATCAATCTTTCTAGTTAGACAGGCTTTCCTCTTCTCCCCTTCACTTTCTCCTAGTTCTCTCTCCATTCACAACCCCCCTACTTCCCCTGTGCTCTGGTAAACTTGTCCCTTCCCCTTTTGTAAGGGAACTTATATAAACCTCTTAGAATACACCCTGTGTCCTAGTTCCTCTGGTGGTGTGAATTATAGGCTGGTGATCTTTGCTCTAGGACTAAACCCAAATATGAGCAAGTACATACCATGTTCCTCTTTTTTGTGACCGGGATACCTCCTTCAGTACGGTTTCTCCAAGTTCCATCTACTTGCCTATGAATTTCAAGATTCCATTCTTTTTTTCTGCTGAGTAGTATTCCTTGTGTAGTTGTGGCACATCTTCTTTATCCATTCTTTAATTTAGGGGCATCTAGGTTGGTTCCAGGTTCTTGCTATTACAAATAATGCTGCTATGAACATAGTTGAGCACCTGTCTTTGTTGCATAAATGTGGATCATCTATGCAATCCCCCTAAGAGGGGGATTGATGGGTCCTTTGGTAAACTAATTCCCATTTCCCTGAGGCACCACCATATTGATCTCCAAAAATGGCTGTACGAGTTTGCACTCCCACCAGCAGTGGAAGAGTGTTCCCCTTTCTCCACCTCCTCTCCAGCATAAGTTGTCATTGGTGTTTCTAATTTTAGCCATTCTGGGAGGAAGGAAAAACAACTCAAAATTGTTTTGATTTGCATTTCCCTGATAGCTAAGGATGTTGAGCACTTTCTTAAGTGTCTTTCAGGCTTTTTGATTTCCTCTATTGAGAATTCTCTCTTCAGTTTTGTACCCCATTTTTAATAGGGTTATTTGATGTCTTGTTGACTAGTTTCTTGAGTTCTTAGTATAATTCGGTGACCAGCCCTTTGTCAGATATAGGATTGGTGAAAATCTTTCCCAGTCTGTGGGCTGCCATTTGGTCTTGTCCACTGTGTCCTTTGCCTTACAGAAGCTTCTAAGTTTAAAGAGGTCTCATTTATTAATTGTCAATCAATCTCAGTGTCTGTGCCCCTGGAGTTATGTTCAGGAAGTAGTCTCCTATACCTATTTGTTAAAGGGTATCTCCCACTTAATCTTCTAAGAGGTTCAGTGTGCCTGGATTGATGTTGAGGTCTTTGATCCATTTGGACTTGAGTTTTGTGCATGGTGACAGACATGGGTCTATCTGCAGTCTCCTGCACGCCATCATCCAATTGTGCCAGCACCATTTGTTAAAGATGATTTCCTCCCCCCATTGTATTCTTTTACTTGTTTTGTCGAAAATCATGTGTTCATAGGTGTGTGGGTTATTATCAGTATTTTCAATTCAATTCCATTGGTATACCTGTCTATTTTTGTGCCAATACCAGGCTGTTTTCAGGACTATAGCTCTGTTGTAGAGCTTAAAGTCAGGAATGGTGATGCCTCCTGAAGTTCTTTTATTATACAGGGTTGTTTTGGCTATCCTGGTTCTTTGTTTTTCTATATAAAGTTGATTATTTTCCTTTCAAGGTCAGTGAAGTATTGTGCTGGTGTTTTAATGTGGTTTGCATAGAATCTATAGAATGTTTTGGCAAGATTGCCATTTTTACTATATTTATCCTACCTATCCAAGAGCATGGGAGATTTTTCCATTATAAAGGGTGATGTTTCTGTGATTTCTTTAACAACTCCTTTGTAAAGTCAGGCTACTGCTTATTTTTAGTTTATCTTTATCCTGTTAGTTTGCTGTAGGTGTTTATCAGCTGTAGGAGTGCCCTGGTAGAGTGTTTTGGGTCTCTTATGTGAACTATGTTATCATCTGTAAATAGAGACAGTTTGACTTCTTCCTTTCCCATTAGGATCCCCTTGATCTCCTTTTCTAGTCTTATAGATTTAGATAGAATTTCAAGTACAATATTGAAGAGATATGGAGAGAGAGGGCAGCCTTGTCTTGATTTTAGAGGTATCGTCTTAATCTTCTCTCCATTCAGTTTGATGTTGGCTGTTGGTTTAGTGTATATTGCTCTTATTATGTTTAGGTATGTTCCTGTTATCCCTGACCTCTCCAAGACCTTTATCATGAAAGGGTGTTGAATTTTGTTGAAGTCTTTTTCTACATCTACGGAGATGATCATATAGTTTTTCTTTTTCAGTTTGTTTATATGGTGGATCATGTTGATAGATTTTTGTATGTTAAACCATCCCTGCAACCCAGGGATGAAGCCTACTTGGTAATGGTGGATGATTTCTCTGATGTATTCCCTGGATTCAGTTTGCCAGTATTTTTTTTTGAATATTTTTCGCATCCATGTTCATCAGGGATATTGGTCTATAGTTTTCTCTCTTAGTTGTGTCTTTGTGATTCTTGGGTCCAAAGTGATTGTGGCCTTGTAAAAAGAGTTTGGTAATGAACCTTCTGTTTCTAATTTGTGGAACAATTTGAGGAGTATTGGTATTTTGTTCTTCCTTGAATGTCAGGTAGAATTCTGCACTGAAGCCATCTGGGCCTGGGATTTTTTTGGTTGGAAGCCTTTCGATAACTGCTTCTATTTTGTTGGGGGTTATAAGTCCATTTAAGTTGTTTGTCTTTTCTTGATTTAATTTTGTAAGTGATATTTACCCAGAATATTGTCCAT